GGCGGGCGACCTAAATTGTAAACACATCAGGTGGAACTCACACACCACAACCCCGAATGGCAGGCGGCTTGACGCGTTAGTCGATGATCTCGCCTTCGATATCGTCGCTCCGCTAACCCCGACTCACTACCCGCTAAATATCGCGCATCGCCCGGATATACTCGACATAGCGTTATTAAAAAACGTAACTCTGCGCTTACACTCGATCGAAGTAGTTTCAGAGTTAGATTCAGACCACCGTCCCGTCGTTATGAAGCTCGGTCGCGCTCCCGATTCCGTTCCCGTCACGAGGACTGTGGTGGATTGGCACACGCTGGGCATCAGCCTGGCTGAATCTGATCCACCATCGCTCCCGTTTAACCCGGACTCTATCCCGTCTCCTCAGGATACCGCTGAAGCCATAGACATCTTAACGTCACACATCACCTCGACATTAGATAGGTCATCGAAACAAGTTGTAGCGGAGGACTTCCTTCACCGCTTCAAATTGTCCGACGATATTAGGGAACTCCTTAGAGCTAAGAACGCCTCGATACGCGCCTACGACAGGTATCCTACCGCGGAAAATCGTATTCGAATGCGTGCCCTACAACGCGACGTAAAGTCTCGCATCGCCGAAGTCCGAGATGCCAGATGGTCTGATTTCTTAGAAGGACTCGCGCCCTCCCAAAGGTCTTACTACCGCTTAGCTCGTACTCTCAAATCGGATACGGTAGTAACTATGCCCCCCCTCGTAGGCCCCTCAGGCCGACTCGCGGCGTTCGATGATGACGAAAAAGCAGAGCTGCTGGCCGATACATTGCAAACCCAGTGCACGCCCAGCACTCAATCCGTGGACCCTGTTCATGTAGAATTAGTAGACAGTGAGGTAGAACGCAGAGCCTCCTTGCCACCCTCGGATGCGTTACCACCCGTCACCCCGATGGAAGTTAAAGACTTGATCAAAGACCTACGTCCTCGCAAGGCTCCCGGTTCCGACGGTATATCCAACCGCGTTATTAAACTTCTACCCGTCCAACTCATCGTGATGTTGGCATCTATTTTCAATGCCGCTATGGCGAACTGTATCTTTCCCGCGGTGTGGAAAGAAGCGGACGTTATCGGCATACATAAACCCGGTAAACCAAAAAATCATCCGACGAGCTACCGCCCGATTAGCCTCCTCATGTCTCTAGGCAAACTGTATGAGCGTCTGCTCTACAAACGCCTCAGAGACTTCGTCTCATCCAAGGGCATTCTCATCGATGAACAATTCGGATTCCGTACAAATCACTCATGCGTTCAACAGGTGCACCGCCTCACGGAGCACATTCTTGTGGGGCTTAATCGACCAAAACCGTTATACACGGGAGCTCTCTTCTTCGACGTCGCAAAAGCGTTCGACAAAGTCTGGCACAACGGTTTGATTTTCAAACTATTCAACATGGGCGTGCCGGATAGTCTCGTGCTCATCATACGGGACTTCTTGTCGAACCGCTCTTTTCGATATCGAGTCGAGGGAACCCGCTCCTCCCCACGACCTCTCACAGCTGGAGTCCCGCAAGGCTCTGTCCTCTCACCCCTCCTATTTAGCTTATTCGTCAACGATATTCCCCGGTCGCCGCCGACCCATTTAGCTTTATTCGCCGACGACACGACTGTTTACTATTCTAGTAGAAATAAGTCCCTAATCGCGAAGAAGCTTCAGAGCGCAGCCCTAGCCCTAGGACAGTGGTTCCGAAAATGGCGCATAGACATCAACCCAGCGAAAAGTACTGCGGTGCTATTTCAGAGGGGAAGCTCCACACGGATTTCCTCCCGGATTAGGAGGAGGAATCTCACACCCCCGATTACTCTCTTTAGACAACCCATACCCTGGGCCAGGAAGGTCAAGTACCTGGGCGTTACCCTGGATGCATCGATGACATTCCGCCCGCATATAAAATCAGTCCGTGACCGTGCCGCGTTTATTCTCGGTAGACTCTACCCCATGATCTGTAAGCGGAGTAAAATGTCCCTTCGGAACAAGGTGACACTTTACAAAACTTGCATAAGGCCCGTCATGACTTACGCGAGTGTGGTGTTCGCTCACGCGGCCCGCACACACATAGACACCCTCCAATCCCTACAATCCCGCTTTTGCAGGTTAGCTGTCGGGGCTCCGTGGTTCGTGAGGAACGTTGACCTACACGACGACCTGGGCCTCGAATCAATTCGGAAATACATGAAGTCAGCGTCGGAACGATACTTCGATAAGGCTATGCGTCATGATAATCGCCTTATCGTTGCCGCCGCTGACTACTCCCCGAATCCTGATCATGCAGGAGCCAGTCACCGTCGACGCCCTAGACACGTCCTTACGGATCCATCAGATCCAATAACCTTTGCATTAGATGCCTTCAGCTCTAATACTAGGGGCAGGCTTAGGGACCCCGGTAACCGTACTCGTCGAACTCGACAAAGAGGTCGACGTGCAACCTAACCCATGCATCAGCCCGCTGAGTTTCTCGCCGGATCTTCTCAGCGGGTCGCGATTCCGATCCGGTAGTAGATTCATTCGCGAAACAATTGCTCTTGAGTTGTTAGGTCTCCTTCGGAGGCGCTCGGGCAGTTGTTAGCAAATCCCACCCCTCTTGGCTGAGCCTTTGCTCGCCCACCTGTCCTGGTGAAACTGGAAAGGCCTTCGGGCCACCAGTAAACTTTCAACCATAAAAAAAAAAAAAAAAAAAAAAAAGACGGTGCAAGGTGGCTCCTGTGCGCCGCCCGCGGTGTATCTCCCGACATGACGTCTTTCAGAATATTCCCGGAGATGAAATCCCATCGTATCATCAGGACAGGTACCGGCGAAGGCGGACTTTCGGCGACCACTGCGGTACCGTAGGTTTGGTGTAGCCGGTGTGGTGGAGCTCGATGGAGTTTAGTCGGTACTTGGTTTTGCGGGGCGAGCGCGCCTTTTTCAACGCGTAGTCTCGTACGAGGATTTAGGGGAGGTGGAGAACCTTGCCCCTCCTCGTCTCCCTCTTCCCTCTTCAAAAAGTTACCAATGTGCCTAATGAAATACGTACTTAACAAACGTTCACGATTGACTTCCACGGTGAAGGAATAACGTCGTGTAATGAAAATCAAACCCACAAATGTTTTAATTTGCGTAATAGCTGGTGGTAGGACATCTTATAGTTATAGTATATAGTTATAGTATAGTATCTTATAGTTCTTAAAAAATTCCTTAATATAAAATTTTATACTGGTGGCAGGGCCTCTTGTGAGTCCGCACGGGTAGGTACCACCGCCGTGCCTATTTCTGCTGTGAAGCATTAATGGTTTTCGGTTTGAAGGGTGGGGCAGCCGTTATACTATAAAAACTGATGCCTCAAGGTGGGTGGCGCCATTTTGGTTGACAATCTTTATATGCGTTTACCACTTAAATCCGGGTGGGCCGTGTGCTCGTCTACCCATTTAATCAATTGAAAATTGTTTATTTCATATTGAAATCAGCTATTATCATAATACGTGTAATAAAAGTACAGTGTACTTGTTACATTTACTCTTAGAAGCTAATGTAAGTAATTTTTAATAATTCTCTTTAAGAATAATGTGATTCAGAATGAAATACGTCTCGATTACTTCTTTCAAAGCAAACGCTCTTAATGTAAATGATATTACTATAAATATTGTAATAAGTTTCCACGAAAATTTATATCGTTTTTATAAAGCTCAAACATCAAGGTTTTATTTCTCGTCTATTAACAAACATGAGACACGAAGAGGCTTTCAATATTCTTTATCTAGTGATAACATACCAAGCCATGAGGTAGTTGAGGCAAAATGTGTTGTGTGATGACTACGGCAGAAATAGATTAGGAATAGAAACAGAGACACTGGGCAGTAAAAACTTTGATTATACCCGTTCACTACGATATGAGTATCATCAAGACAAATTATTATTTGAGTACAAAGTAGGCAACAACATAGTTGTGCTTCTCAGATTGTCATTGTCAATAGGCGACGCGGAGTACTTCTCACCAATTGGACATTAAGCAGTTCTACCATCAATGGCAATAAACAGGTAGGTACCACCACCCTGCCTATTTCTGCCGTGAAGCAGTAATGCGTTTCGGCTCGAAGGGTGGGCCACCCGTTGTAACTATACTTGAGGCCTTAGAACTTATATCTCAAGGTGGGTGGCGCATTTACGTTGTAGATGTTTATGGGCTCCAGTAACCACTTAACACCAGGTGGGCTGTGAGCTCGTCCAACCGTATAAGCAATAAATAAAAAATACTATGCTGGGTTTTAAACTTGTTTCTGTAATAAGGCTAACGCCTGGTTAACTGACTATTGGAATTTATAAATGTTTCTTAAATTAGTAATTTTATTTCTGCATGTGGTATAAGTTCAAGATGTCTAAAGCGAATGAAAAACTGTCCGGCTCTCACACGGTAATTTACGATTGTTTCGAAGCTTAATTGCTAATAAATAGCTAATAGCTAGCTCGAGGCACTGCTACCATTAGCATGTCAACAAACGATGTACTTTGTATTCATTAAAACGTCATTCACGTCCTTGTTATCAATACCCCGATACGAAAACCAATAAGTGCTAAAATCACACCGGACCTATATCATTCAAATGTCCCATTTCTGCGGTAAAACTATCAAGGGTCGTCACCTCTCATTCGCCCGTGCGTCATATTCGTCCGCGCAGTGAATAGTGGCATTGATGCTGGAGTCCAAAGTCGACTTAATCTGATCAGACCTGCGCATGGGACTACGCCCCCTAGGCCTTGTTTCTTTCCACTTGGCCGGTGATTAGAAGTTTTTCGAGATCGTCACGCTTTTTCCTCGCAATGTGACCGTAAAAACTCTAAAATCCTACGTAGGCAAATGGTGGAGTCTTGTGGAGACGTACTGTTCTTCCAGGATTGATGCGTTTCTCTCATGCGCCCTCCAGGGAATCTGCAGCATTTTTCTCCAGCACCACATCTCTCATTAGCAAAGTGAAAAATCAGTAAAATGACTTACCTTTTGGCGGTACATCGCAGCGGCCTTGGTATTGTACTTCTGTGGTATAGTCATCCCAGAACTGATGTCCGGTTGACTCTCGAAGAACTCGCGGGCCTTCGCGTTGCCTCCGACCTGGAGCAAGGCAGAATTGACCGAACTCAATACGCCGATCGTTTTACTATTATAAAATCTATATATCTACCAGAAGAATAATGTGGAATCTACTTTTGTAAAGATCACTTATATACGTATTGATGTATACATTTTTACTATTTCTTTTTAATCCGTTTCTTGAGTAAAATTTTGAGGTTAACTATTTAAATATCATTATATCCGTTCCAAAATAGTTGCGTAGATTTTTACAATACATCGGCACATACAAGACCACTTCATTTTTAATTTTTACTGGTACTTACCATCCAGATTTACTATTAAATTTAACTTTTAAACTTAAACACTACTATCGTCAGATTTTTCGGCATCAGACGCGTACAATCCGAATTAATTAAACGAAACGAAAAAATACATTACGAAATGTAGTTTTAATTGTATAGACCAGTGAACGAGCTCACGGCTCAACTAGTATTAAACGGTTACTGTCAGGGCCCTGAAACTGCAATACTTTAAGACAAACATTTTTTTCTGTATGGAAATTAGCGACACCTTGTAGTGGATGCCCCTAAGCTTATATGTTGTTAAAGTTAAGGCATTTAATTATTGCACAGTTAAACGCAGAAAAAAAGTCATACAGGTCTTTATTTGCTATAGACAAATTCATTAAATTTTATCAATTTGTGGTTTCTATAAAATTTACAAAATCCTTCATTAAAAATAAAATATAGGATAGGAAATATGTTACTGCCATCTGCAGGAGCAATGAGAAACTAATTGAAAGGAAGCCATCTAGTGGCCGACGCCGGTAAACATTTTTGTTATGTGCTTGAGTTGCTTATCTATAACTAATTTATGTGTATTATCTATGGTTACTGAAACCAATAGACATAACTACCTTGAGAATGAACGTTTGTATTAATTGTATAATAATTACGCATATTTATTGCAGCTTTGATTTAGATTACACGATGTTATTCCTCCATCGTGGACGCCATTCGTGATCATGTTTTTTTTTCTTCATAGGTATTTTCCTTAGTCATCGTTACCTGTCTGTGGTATTAGAATACCAGCAAAGTCACATCTCTCGATACGAGTACACCAGAGGTCTGATCCCTTAGACCACGACTGTTAATACAATGGGTCTGTATTTTTGCACTACTAAAAATCATTTGCATATGTTCACAGCGACTCACTGGGTAGCTCCATTTACAGACTTTTGAACAATCTACATATCGACTTAGTAGTAAGTAGTATTTTCTGAACAATTGAAAACTCAGTAACATATGATAATACTTAAATTGTCCAAGTTACAAGCCTACGAATCCTCCTGATCTTAACGTTTTTTGGGTCAAAACGAAGATGCCTACAAAGACAAGATCAATAACGTTCGGATTAAAATTAAAAACTTTTCACAGTTAAGTCTTTTTAAACGAAATACGGGTTTTATAGATTTTTTTTGTTTTGACCCTTCAAATTAATAATCCGATGTTGAAACGATTCCAATTAAACAGACAAATTCGGGATCGCCCCACGTAACTGCATACAACGTCGAGTATTTTCCAATAATTGGTGATCTCTGACTTCGAGTAGTATTCAATTCTCCCGGGGCTTACTTCAAACAGCAGTATTACGTGTCGTCCAATTTGAAATACGCAATTGAAATTCGGAATCGAAATACGAAAAGCGTTCGAAACAACAAACAACAATTATAGCATTATTTATTCACCTGTTCGATATTGTGAGTCGTAAACCTTTATACACCTTATTAATTATTGAGTAGATTAGCACTGAGCCATTACGCCGGGGAGGGTTTTAAATAATTTCGAACATAGCATAATTTATGATTTGATGTCTGAAGGTTACCTAAACCTATAAAATTAAATAAAATATTAGCTTCTGACGGATTCTTTGATAATATGTACAGCTTTCGTGTCAGGTATAAATAAACCAAAAATATAGAACTTAAAAATATATTAGAAATTCCAACTTTACAATAATGTGACCGTAGTTAAACTTCGTTGTATTTATATTTGATCAAGACATTGTCCGAAGGTAACAGCCCGTACATTATGGAATAAATTGATTAAACCACCTACAATTCTGTAGCAGAAGAAAATGGGTTAGTTAAGAGACCGTATTACTGATTGACCTACGAAGCAATAGGGTATCAGCTAAACTAACCTAACCGCGTGCCGCTAAGATACTTTGAGACACTATTAGATATATTGTAGGACTTGTACCAGTTAATTTAATTTTATCACGTAATTTTATTGATAAATGGTTATGTACGAGGGCAGCAAAAGTGCATGGATTGTAGGGTATCTAAACCATTTTGACCTTTTTAACTAATGCAATCTGTTATTAACTAACTAATTGCTTGTAGTATTGATTAAATTGAGACTAAATTGTATTTTTATACTTTTTTAAGTATTAGGTACTTCTGTTGATGAATGTGATGTTGGCAACTTTTTGCTAACATTTTCGAACGTGTTTCCTCTAAATTGGTTTGTTTTTTTTAGCTCTCCTATCCTAACCTCGAGAGGTTTACTAGGTTCGCCGAGCGTGTAGGCTAGCTCACCGTGCTCATCCTAGGTAAAACTAGCCCTAGCAAGAGCAGTGCTTCGCAGAATCTACCACTGGGTCGGAATCACGATCCACTGAGAAGATCCGGCGAGAAACTCAGTGGCCACTGCTTTGGAGTACTTAGAACAAAGGTCATTTGCTATTGATTTTAAGATCGTAAATTTTATAGTTTTGATAGAGTATTACTTACATAGCCACATGATTATGGAACTTATCGTATCCATAGAATCCTGCAGCTGAACTCTCATTCTAATGTATGGCAACGACATGAAGATGTTTGTTTAAAAATTATTATTTAAAAGCCAGCAAGTATTGCTCACTTTTCAAATTTCTGACATTCCGGACAATGTATTAGAATCTTAGGAAAAGAAAGAAAAAAACAACGTAAGTCGTCCCCTTAAATGTTTTGGAACGCATATGTATCGCAAAGCAGCTTATGCAGAGCGTCGTCGTCGTCCCATTTACTCTAATGCTGCTTTGAGCCGACTTGAGCACATAAAGATTTTTTTTGCAAAAGAAAGCACCGCCATAACGCCATAGCCAAAAAAAAGAAACAAACGGAAGCTCGCAATAGCAACAAACGCAAAATATTATGATTTAAAAAAAACACAAATATTGGGCTCACCTATTAATTAGAAAATTAAAATCTTTTTTAAACAGTAGGTTTGGCTGTGGCATTTTCACACCAATAGCCATCTTTTTATTTCAAAAAAATTTAAATACTAACCTACGCTATTACGATTTAATTATTTTACTACAGATAAATTATTTATTTTAACAAAGATTTTACACAGCACAGCATGTTAATTTTAATTGTGAATATTCTCTGTGTATCCTCAATTATTTTTTAAAGTTGCAAGACAAGGTCAAGCAATGTTCTTTGACAGTCAAATTATTTTTTCATCTTATTTTTCCATCATTTATTATAGAACAAAACAATATCTATTATCAAGGAAATTCTTGGAGCGTTATTTTTTTACTAAAGTATTACTTTCAGTGTGGCAACTTGGTAGGCAGCTATGCCTCTTTCATTGAGAAGTTGGTCACTTCTAAGGCCAATCCAAACCAATTCCACCAACACTAAGACAGTAAAAAAGATTATAAATTAGCTGAGCCTGAAGAACCATTCTACGCTATGCAAAAAGTATTATCGCAAGTGCAGTTTGCTGAGCGCTTTGCATACCGCGCTTTCGGTATGCGGTCATAATTTCAAATATTACGCAAGCGGGTCGCCCGTTCAATCCACTACTCTAATTTTACTACTGGTACAATGTTATTATTGGTGGCAGGACCTCTTGTGAGTCCGCACCGGTAGGTACCACCACCCTGCCTATTTCAACCGTGAAGCAATAATGCGTTTCGGTTTGAAGGGTGGGGTAGCCGTTGTAACTATACTGAGACCTTAGAACTTATATCTCAAGGTGGATGGCGCGTTGACGTTGTCTATGGGCTCCAGCAACCACTTAACACCAGGTGGGCTGTGAGCTCGTCCACCCATCTAAACAATAAGGAGATATTTACAAATTAAAAACTGCTCTGAAAGTTTTAGTTGAACTGTTTTTTTGTTAGATGAACGAGTTTTGTAGCAAGTTGGTTACAAAGATAAAAATCCCTACGATTACAAGTTACATGCTGAAATGGTGAGATTTGACAGACATAACAAAGAATCAATAAAGGCGAGATCTGAACGATTCCCGACTTCCTCTACTCTACTAGAGGTAAAAAACCGAAATATTAGACACTCTTGATATATTATCGATTTATAGTGTAGGTTCACTTTCTGGAGATTGAAAAATATATTGTTTGGCTTCTACGCCAGGCGATTTGGTTGTTAGATAAAAGTTAACAATTAAAGTAGCGAATTATTTATTAGACACTAGCGACCCGCCCTGGCTTCGCTTCGGAAACTCTAATTTATTATTGATTTCTCAACTATTTAATGGATGTTATTATACATGTAAACCTTCCTCTTAAATCACGCTATCTATTAAAAAAAACCGCATCAAAATCCGTTGCGTAGTTTTAAAGATTTAAGCATACATAGGGACACACAGATATAGGGACAGAGACAGCGACTTTGTTTTATACTATGTAGTGATTTTACTTTGGTCTTATTTTGAATTTAGATTCATTGGTTAATTGAGTTAAAAAAGTCTTCCGACGGAACGACGGCTATGAAGTATCCGGCTCACAATGTGAATGATGCAACCAACTTTAGACAACAGGTGAAAGTCTCAAGTGTGCGATTGCTTTCAGACTGAAATACTGAGGGTACGTTCGTATGATTTCAGAAGACGTTGAGAATACAACTGCTACTTTTGATATATTTGCAAAGAAAAAGAAAGGAGACACGCCGAAATCATAGCCAATCGTCTATATTCTTCAACTACGGAGGCAATCGGATCTCATTTCCAATATGGAGTCAAGCATGTTCCGCATAAGATTCATTTTACGCAATACAGCTACACAGCAAAGTTCGCTTCTATCGCAGAGAGCAGCGCAGTCTTCCAGCCTCACTAATTAAGTAATTATTGTGTCATTTCTGCAGTCCCCGAGTTTGTTACTTTGAATCTGCAATTTCTATCTCAACGTTAAAGAAAAGGTAAGCAATCAACTTGTAAAAAAACGAAGCTTCTTTGCCTCCATCTTTTCCATTTCAAAATTTAAAACTCATTAGAATATTCTCATTGCATCACAAAATATAAAGGAGAATTGAAAAAGCTTTTTCTATATTTACCTATATTTAGATAAAAACTACGTAGGTACATATTTATATGAACATTATAAACTCTAAAAAATAATTATACTATTGTTGAAGGTCGAATTTTTAGCTAAACAATTTCATAGAAACATGTTTACTATTTGTTTAAATAGTGTGTTATATCGAAGTCAAATAAATCGTTGTTATTATTATAATTAATTTGTCTTGGAGCTAAATCACGTTATGAAAGACATAAGACTAACAAATACAAAATATTTTATAATGTATTTGTGGTGTTTATGAAACGCGCTTTTGTCTACAGCGCTCGGAACTAGCAGCACTTAATACAATTTAACTCAATAATGAAAACTCAATTATTCTGAAGCTGCGGTGCGGAATCCATTTATGAAAATTGATTTTCACATACGAAGCACTTTCATTATTGACCTACCCGCGTCTATAAATAAATTGACGGTTCGCGTCTATACATAATATTTAATATCAGAGTTGAATTAAATGTAACGTTCGAAATTCTTTCCGGAGGTTTTATTTTAACGATAACTTTTTTCCGAATTCAGTCCGCACCCTGATCGATACGCTATAATACTATAAACAATAGATAAAATTTACATATAATGTTTTAACAATTTTTTATATTAGCTTTATACATATTTAGGGCAACTCACCATCATTTTCTCAAGTTCCACGTCCTTCCACTTGTCCATAGTGACGGAGCGAACGAATGACAGGTGAACACCGAGGCTTCGATGCACGCCCGAGCACTCCAAGCATATCCAGACTCCGTACGTCACTGACACCCATTGAGGATTCAGAGTTCCGCACTCAAAGCATTTCTAAAACAAAGACCTTTTCTTTATTTTCATAATAAGTACGGTAAGTGGTTTACATAGGAAAATCTTTTTATTATGATGCAGCTGATAAAGTGGTGCTATCGTCCCGTGGATTAAAAATGGCGGGATTCCCGCAAGCAAGCACTGATTTTTCTAATAAAAGAAATACATACTTAACACACGTTGACGAATGACTTCCAGGCTGAAGGAATAACATCGTCTAATCATATCGAATCCGCAAAAAATATAATTTGCGAAGTAGCCCCCTACTTTGTGAGTTTATATATGTAAGTATAATAGATAACACCACCCTACCTATTTCTGACGTATAACATCTATAACTTAAACTAAAATATAACTTATACTATACAATTGTAATCTAAGATGATGAGTCCTCAAGGATGGTGGTGGAATACATGCTATGATATCTATGGGATTCTGTAATCACTTAACACCAAGTTGGCTGTGAGATCATTTAGCCGTCTATCTTGCAGACTGAACCAAAATGATTTTGCTGGCTGATTTTTTATTCATTAGTACACATTTTTTGTACATTTAAGTAACAAGTAGGTAGTTAAAGGGAGATTTCAGTTGTGTATTATGTTGAAAACATTTCCGAAAACAACGAAAGGCGGCGTTTATCCAAAACTTTGGTAACATATGATTGGGATATGCATTTGAACAACATGTTGTAGTTAATCCGTTCTCATAAATTCATAAATTAAACAAGTATTATCCCTTTCCGAATTCAACAAGCAAACCTGCTTTAAAATACAACATAAATATTCAAAAATAACAAAGTAGCTTCTACACTTTAAAGCCAAGTTTTCAATTCAAGGAGAAAAATATATTTTTCAACGAACAAAGAAGTCAAATAAGCTTTGTAACAATTGCTTTGTAAAGCTCAAGCTCCTTCAAGAGTAGGTCAATTCAATTTTAACTTGTAAGCTTTTCCTTATACTGCATAGAAAAATTGTATAAAAGTTTACAGCTTTTTAACTTGTAGAAGCACAGAATAGTTTCTGCATACCGTGAAAGCTGCTACCACTGAAAGAGAATAATAATGTTTCTGATTTTTTGCACTTTTTTCTATGGATTTATTTTCTTTGAAGATAAGATTAGTATAATTTAGAAAATGCAATGAATCACTGTCTACATAATTTTAAGCGATTACCAATGCCAATGGACACAAAAACAGGAATTTTAACAGCTACCCAAGTTCTACTAGAAAGCAACATGGAACAATAATCTTATCGTAGCCGCCACAAGATAAGTGGCCAACCTAGAATACGACGCAATAAATAGCAGTCACTAGACAACCCACTGAGCTTCTCGCAGGATCTTCTCAGAAATTTGTGATTTCAATTCCAGATTATGGTACGGCATGAAAGTACTAAATTATTTTAGGCTGAGTGATGTGCTCGCCCACCAACCAAGGAGAAGCCAGAGTAGCCTTTCCAGGCCACTGGTAGATAGGTAAGCTAACAAAAGGCCTACCTAAGTAGTTAAGTTGAAGTCAGTTGTTTTTAAAAAAATTATCCTATCCTTCAAACCAGAATAGGTGATATCTTTTGGTAAAGACAAAACCTGTGGTCATGATACACCCTTCCACCAGAGCTTGGCATGAGAACTATGTTCATTTATGATATGTATTTGTTTCAGTTTTTACCTTTTTGAAAGAAGAATAGTTTTAGGCTACATAAAACTGTACTATGGATTACTGATCAACAAGTGCACCACAAAGTGCACCACATTATACTTATCACTGACAAATTGAATACAATTAACCAAGAACCTCTTTTTTGATATCACAGTGGCAGACAGATAGCTTTTTTTATACTGATCCACAAATTAAGTTCTTTATAGAGATTAAAAAAATGGAAATACACGATTTATGTAAAGTAATGTTTGTATTACCTATTTGATCCACAAATTAAGTTCTTTATGAAAGATAAAAAAAATGGAAATACACGTTTTATGTAAAGTAATGTTTGTAATACCTACTTACACACATACTCTTGTGCACACAAGTGTCAAATAAATTTATGGTTACTTTGTCTTGTTTTAAAACTAAAACTTTAAAAAAATATGAAAATTATTGTAAAAGCAATCTTATAGTTTAGAACTAACTAGCTGTGACATAGGACTAATTTTAACAGAAAAATAAATAGAAAAAGTTTTTGAGAGTTCTGTGGCAAGTATTAAAAAATCTGATGATTGGTACAAGTCCATACGGAGGATTTAAATGTGAATTCATCACTTACATGGTTCTCGTCGAGGTTGCGGATTGAGTTCAACTTGCGTTTGGTACGTGGTGATGCCATTTTATCTATTAGTGAAAGTGGGAAGTCTTTTTAAAACGACTTCACCAGACCCGTGACATGAACTCCGACCTCCAACTGTGATGTGAATTCATGAAACGGATTGAAACGTCCTACGTCACGAATTGTGAAATGTCAAAGTTCCTGCTTTTTAAATTTTTTTCAGTTTAGTAGATAAGCAAAAGAGACTTATCCCATACTATTATTATACTGCGCAGTAAAATAAGGGTGAATAAAGTTGAAGCGAAGTTTTTTCGGCAATTGATTTTGAAAGTCCGAATTACCCGGAATTACTTTAACAAAAGTTCCTGTCTAATGTGTCTAAATGTTTAAAAATATTTTTAAATTTAGTTTAAGGTAATGTCTTTTAATTTGGTTAATTCTCCTGTCGTTGCCAACTTTTATTTTAGATAATCATTCACTTCGTTTCTTTTGCGAGTGTTCTCCAAAGAAGTTAATTTTTCTACCCAGGCGGTAAAATTTTATGATCGCCACTTTTAGTAATATAGTTTATTGTAATGTATGCAAGTTTATTATGAAAATACGTGTAATATGGGATAGATTTGTGAAGGTTTTAAATACGCAGCGGTGCCGTCTACATATCTTCAAATAGAATTGAAAATAGCGAGACCAATATTACCCCAAACAAATATTACCAAATTTTCAGTAGATCTTTGTCTGGTGATTGGGTTCATTTTCTCCCACTTGTACAATTAAAGTTGCTGTTGGCAACAATTATTAGGTACACGTTTAAACAGAGAGATATTCTAAAATGTCCAAAAAAGTCAGACCGGAGAGGCTATGATTAAATACTTTCGGAAGAGTTACTACAATCAATTATATTATATAACTTTTAATTAGTATTTTACTTTAATTTCTCTTTGACTACTATTTAACAAATCTAGTCTACTACAAGAGCCTATTTTTAAATATATGAGTCGACTATTATCAAAGGCGGCAATCTGACTTTTGGACAATGATTGGTAAATCAGAAAAACGAATTATTGACTTTGTATTCCATTGGCAGTCACAAAACTCTTCGGAACGACATCTTAGATAAATAACAGGTTAACTATTAACCTTTATTTAATGCAGGTTTTGAACCGTATTCTTTGAAGGAGACGATTATATTCAAATAAATCTGTATTGAAATATCAATAAAAATTTTTTGTCCAAATGCACAGATTGCCACCTTTGATAATAGACGACTCATATGCTGCTATGGTGAAACAGAATCGAAGATTTATTACAGCCTAAAACTTCTAAAATTTTGTGACATGTTGGTAGAAATAGTAGAAATCGATTAACATACCGACAACATTGAAGTAGACAGCGGTGCACTCATTCAGACAGAAGGTCCGACTCTGGTGAAATTGAATCATTTCTGTCGTTTACTCCGTTGGAAGTTCTCGTGTTACCGATTTCATACCTCGACATTGGTCTACACGCTTCTTGCAGAGTATCATCATCGGCTTCTCAATAGAAATAATTTTTCAGTGGAGTTAAAAACCGCGGGCTGAGCGGTATTCACCTTTGTTGAGATTCAGCGTGAGATGAAAAATTAGTTACGATGAATCCGAAGTTGAACAGCATTGAAGCCGAATATCTGGATATCATGCACAGGAATGGGTGGCCCCTGATTTATCAGGTTAGTAGTGGAATGAGATGACGCGCTCCAAGGCGCCACGCATCATAACTTTCAAAAGAAGTTGCAACCGTGTTTACATTTTGCCGTTTATAATGTTCGGGTAATTCGGTTATTATTGTTGACTTTTTTATCAAATCTGGACTGTAATTCTTCAAATAGATTTACGGAATGCGTTTCGCATGAAACTTTTTCCGTATAATCAACTTTTTATTAAAGTTTTCGTAGTTTTTAAAACTGGCAATGCAGGTATAAAACTTGTTTAGAAGTAAAAGAAATTCCGCTTTTGTCGTGCAAACTGTCTTATCATTCAAATATTACTGTAAACCTTTAAATTTACATAAATTTTTTACTGATTAGTAGGTTTCAAATATATTTTTTATGAAATTAATCAATCTTCTTGTTTTTTGGTGTTCATAAAATATATATAAAAAAGGAAACCACAGTTACATTTTTTGTCAGAAGCATTGTTTTATTTATTTAAAAAATGTCAACCAACATTTAACTGAGTACTAACTCAATTACTCTCACGTTTAAAAGGAACTTTCATCTAATCAAATTTAGTATCAGAGCATATTGAATGCTCTTATGTAAAAGCCAAATAAAAAATTAAATACTGGTACTACTAAAATCAGATCTACCTTTGCACAATCCACTTTTATTTTATTTGATGTGGGTATTTTGTTTTTTTTTCGGGTGGACTCAATAATTATGGATATTATGATTGCATATTTATTGTAATTATAAATCGCAAGATATGACTTTAATTTAAATATTTTAAGATTGATTATTTCTAAAATATTATAGAATAAAAATTACCATTTCAGTATACCTGTAAATAAATTGTATCGATTATATAAATTGACTGATAGTGTTAAAGAATAAAATAAGACTACATGCCACTACAATATTAAAAACAGAATAAGTATAATAATAAGTATAATAAAAATATAATTTAAATAAGAAATGGTACATGTGAAATTACAGTTACAATATTTGAAACTGTAAAATATACATTTAATTCATACATATATCTGTATAACAAATTGCATCATGTAATGTAACTGCAGCATATGTATTGTACAGCTTGACAGGCAGATTTGGTAGTAAAGTAATTCTTCTAAATAGGTTGTATTAGAAAATTATAGATTCTGGAATAATTTTGAAAAATTTCAAATATCATTTTTTAATAGATATGAACCTAAATAGCAGGCAACAATATAGCCTATTTGCAGATAATAGCTCAATTTAAGAAAGAAATTTAAGCAAAAAATACTATCGGATCACAATTAAGATAGTCACAGCAGTAAAATGTTATGTAATTTTTTATTTTTAATACCTTTTTGTTTGGTTACTTAGATTTAACTATTCATATTGAACAAATATTCATATACAACAAAAATAACAAATATTCATATTGAATCATATTTTTGTCTAATACTTATTTCTCTTATAAAATTACAACAAAACTATTAACATTACAAATACCCGGAATATTACATTTTAACTTATATTTGTGCAAATGCCAATTAAAGTTGTGAACATAACAAAATAATCTGAAAACATTATTATCTACCTCATAATTTTTAATTTTAGTCAATATTTTCCCTATCTATGTTGTTTCTCCGAAAACGACAACCGCATTTCTACCCGCGATATTATGAGATAATAAGGCGAACTATCGCAATTGTCTCTGCATTCAAAAGCATACGACTGAAGCCACACCCACAATGGATTTCGAGACAAAGAATTTTTAATTGCTAATTTCCGCTTTAAGATAACTAGGCCACCAATCTCGCTATTAGCGCGACCCCAAATAAAAAATTTCCTCCAGACATACTATATATATCATGCAAAAGTGAAATCAACAATAGCTATAATTATGAATACGAGCGCAGTTTTCCTACGTAGTAGTAGTATGTAGTATAGCGTTGAAGTCGTATTCCGAGATGCTAAACTGTTGATATTTTGCAGAGGGTCGGTCAGGAGTGTCAAAAGCTCCCGTACACTTGTGTGGAGGCGAAGAGGCCTCACAACAAGGCGCTGAACCGCTACCGCGACGTGAACCCGTACGACCACAGCCGCATCGTCCTACAGCGTAGCGAGAACGATTACATAAACGCTAATCTCGTTAGGGTAAGTTTTTGTTTATTCGTTTGTTTTTTTTTTACAGCCGAACGTACCTTTTTGATTTTTTTCCTACCTATGCTGATAGCCTTGAGAGGCTAATTCAGCTTAACCTAGCGTATAGGTGAACTTCGAGGCTCAAACCGGAGGTGTTGCTCACACTGGCCTTAGCAAGAGCAGTGCTTCGCAGAATCTACCACCGAATCGGAAACGCGACCCATCGAGAAGATTCGGCGAGAAACTCAGTGGGCTGTGTGTATAGGTTAATTTAATCGCCGAGCCCTTCGTCGCAAGCAATTCTGCATTATACTAATATAGATCTCATAAATATGTTTAGAATCGAAATATTTTACATACTTCACTGCTGTATTTTTGAAAATATTTCGACCTAAAATATTAACGGAAAATACGCCGCTCGACAATTGATGATTATTTAATCATATCAATTATCTCAATTCTAAAAGTAGACTGAACCTACTTACGATTTATATTGGTCATACCAGGAATACTCGGATTCGCGCTAACAACGAACCGTAGTTTTCACATTAATCACGTATCCTAATTAAACAGGAAACGTAATCAAAACTATTTTCAAAACACTATTACTTAGATAAATATAAACGTATTTTTTATTACAACAAGAAATTGTTCGAACGAGTATATCAAATCATTCCACATTTCTTATTGTCTCTGTCGGACATTAATAGTGTCTAAAGACAATCATATTAATAAAGGTTTAAGACTTAAACAATTTTCTGCCCTTTGAGTAATAAGGCTTAATTTTAATTAATTAGATTACTATTTTACGCAAAGATAAATCGGTGCCTGTGAAATTCGAATAACGTTACCTACTGGTCTACAAAGAGCCTCAAATTACAGCTTGCTTATGGTTTTTTAGCATTTGTGTAATTTTAATGTCAGCCTTAATTCGTCGTGAGAAGATATACGAAAACAGGTAAGTCATGATGGATATAAATGATTTGCATACTCGTTGTAATTAATAAATGAAGGAAAATGTGATTTTTTTCTCTTATTCATCGTCCTCCTTTTTACTTAATAAGAAAATAAGTTCATGCTAATTGCACGTAGTAAAACAAAAGGCAGATATTTCTTTGTTTATTTAAGTCTAATATTCATGACTGGTTTCCGTTACAGTTAGAGTTGTATGAACCTAAAGGTGGACTTATTTCCGGAACGACTGATCTGACTTGATGTTCGTTGGCAGCCAGGAGACTGAGGCACTCTTGGCTGTACTGTTACTGGTGGTAGGACCTCTTGTGAGTCCGCGCGGGTAGGTACCACCACCTCGCCTATTTCTGTCGTGAAGCAGCAATGCGTTTCGGTTTGAAGGGAGGGGCAGCCGTTGTAACTATACTTAAAACTTATATCTCAGGGTGAATGGCGCATTTACGTTGTAGATGTCTATGGGCTCCAGTAACCACTCAACACAAGGTGGACTGTGAACTAGTCCACCCATCTAAGCAATAAAAAAAAATCTCCAGCTTTGATCCGTTTTACTGTCGGAGTCGTTCTTACTCTTGAAAATGGAACGCAGGACTACCTAGATTATTTTACTTTTCCACAGATTTGTAAGTCATGATCCTAATAAAAAAGAGCCGTAGTTAACAATCGATTGACTAGACACATTTAATTCTTAACACATTGCCGGTTAATTCCCGTTGTTGTAACTATGTGCTTTGACAAGGAAAATTTTAAATGGTTTTATTTGATAAATATAAAATTAAGAACAAAAATAATTCGTGTCATTTATATCCACCACAATTATTTTCATTCACAGGAATTTTAGTATTATCCTCCACGCCATGCTGGGTATGTTTTTAATAAAGTCAGTCTTATCTGTTATTGTAACGCAAATTATTCTAAGAAAAATATCGTTGCTATAAATATAGTAGATTAATGAAGGGTCCTCGTTGCGATCCAACTATGGAGCTCAGACCGCAATAAACAAATATGTAAGGAGTGATGAAAATTCAAAAAAAGTTTCAATTTACGATTAAAATTAACAAATCTATAAAATAAATACATACATGTGTCCCCAGATCTGATCTCAAAATATGTTCTAGAATTTCAGGTTATGAATTTAAAATAGAATTATACTTAAAACGAGTATCGCTCTGATATTCTTTGAAAATGATTCAATATTTGTAGCAAATACAACATTGTGTTTTTAAGTTATTTTTCATATTTAGGGAATGTTCTCTCTTAAAGTGTAAATTATTTACGCATTACATATTCAGATCGAATAACCTCTGCCTGTATTCAACTCATGAATACAACAGATAAATTATGAGAGGGTATTTCTTAATCCTCTTTTGTTAATTTTCCGTCGCGATGTACATACGTATTGTTAATATTAAGTTAAGAACGAATTGTTTCAACACAAGTTATTTGTAATTGAGCATGCCAACTGAAATAACCGATACATTTGTCGAAACAAGAACATCGGAATTGTCCACTGAAATACTAATTCCAGCGTCAGTACTCCATTTCGTTGCTTTACAATAGTATTTTCTTGCCTATTAATAGATATGTGTACATACAGTTTTCGTTAAATAAATAAGTTTTTGTTTATATTGAAGAATGCCTTTATTTCGAATAATCATTTCAAATAGACTTTTACTAATGATTCGTAATGCGGTTTCGTCACTACGAAAAATTGGCCGCCTTTGCATATATGTAATTAAATAAACAGCTTTTGGTTTCGAGAAATTATATTTGTCGGTGCAAACGACTAATCAATAGAAATGTGATTCAACTTTCGAGCCGCAGTCGAAGCTACGTGTTCTTTAGAACATCTATCCCGCGCATACCGACAGGACACTGCACCAATTGATTCAGATTAAGATTCACCATACAGTAAACAACAGTAGTGACAACTAGAAGTATTTGACATTATTAAATCTGCTCTTATTTGGATTAAATCAATGTCGCTCTATGCCATGAGGTCTCCGTACATTACATTTATACAATGCAATTGGCTACTGTCATGTTTAATCTGCTCAATTGCTGGCTGAATACTGTTAGTGAGAAAACAGTAAGAAGAGTCTGTCAAATGACGCACGCATTCTTAACTGCATCTCATAAAGTTTGTCGGTTAGTTGACAAGGATATATTTTCATGTGTCCAAAACTAGAATAATTATTGATATAACTTCTATTGTTAATAGTAGTCACTTACAGTCATTTTGTGTAATCTTGATAATGATAGAATATTTCAATAATATCAGTAATGTACAATTAAATGTAACATAAACAACAAACAATATAATGTAAAAAATTAAATGAGAGAGAGAGAAAGAGAGTCTAGTACTTGGGCAGCCAGCGGCTTGGCTATGGCCCCCGTGACATGGCTAACTTATATGAGCGACGAAGACCACCGTACGTCTCACCATCAGTTAGCCCGTAGTCTGGACTGCCATCGGAGGCAATAAAAAAACATAATTTAATGAAATTTGCGTAATTAAAATGAATTAAAAATGATGTACATTGAAAACATTCTGAAAGTGTTTTAAAAATATACCAACGTCCACTTATGAAAATGTTTCTGCATCGCACCGCTGCTCCTGTTTAAATATTCGAACTCTGTATTTAACCGAAACGGGAATGACCTCTGAATAACTAAAAAAAAATGTTATGGTTTTTCAAATATTTGAAAATTTAAAATGAACTGTGCTAATGAAATTGACAACTGACAATTCTTCAAATATTTATAGCTTCGAATCGCTCTTTGTTGTTATCAATATGTACATACTCGTACTCGCAATACAGTGACTGACTCAGCTTCGAATTCACAATTCCCGATCGATTACATACATTACTTGATAGTAATAAGTACCACAGCGCGCCGTGTTTGAACGTTAAATTGTCTATTTCGATACGTTATTAAGTCGTCATTATTAGTTAGTGCTGACGGATTCATGTAATTTTTTCCCATAGACACAGCCCACTGAGTTTTTCGCCGGATCTTCTCAGTGGGTCGCGTTTCCGATCCGGTGGTAGATTCTGCGAAGCACTGCTCTTGTTAGGGTCAGTGTGAGCATCACTCCGGTTTGAGCCCCGTGAGCTCACCTACACACGTTAGGGTGAAGCTGAAATAGCCTCTCCAGGCTATCAGCATAGGTAGGAAAAAAATATGTCATTTTTTAAGGTATTAGCAAAAATTGGTTAGTATGTACTTATAAATAAATATATGTACGTATATATTCATAAAACTGCGCCATTTTACACGCGTATTTCCACTGTAGATCTGTTAGATCTGGAGTGTTCAGGTATTTTGTGAAAAAAATAATTTAAATGGTTATTGTTCTGAAATACGGCTTATACTTATATAATGCAGCTATAGCAGCATACTGTAGCTTTAAAAAAAGCAGATGAGTGTTTTTTACAATGGTTTTCCAACCGAATATCTTTTCCCTTTTTGTATGGTAAATATTGTTAATTTTTAGTTACAAAATTTTTGAGAAAATATGTACCTATTAAACAGAGCAAAACTGCTAAATCTAGTATTTAAAAATAGATCCAAATCTCGAGTTATTTGTGATTATTGTCGAATTTCAATCTTTCGGCAAACGCTAATTGTAATCTATCGCTGAGAATTAATGGAATACATCGACACATGCATAACATGGGATATCCATGATTACATCATTTTTAATTATAATTGATTGTAATATTAGAGTTATGTAAATGTGAATAGTAATGATAATTACTTTATCAAGATATAGTAAAGCTCAACAAATGTTCAACTCAACAAATAATAACTAAACTCAATAAAAAACTCAACAGATGTTCACGATTGACTACCACGGTGAAGGAATTCACATCGTGTAATAAAAATCAAACCCGCGAAATTATAATTTACGTACTTACTGGTGGTAGGACCTCTTCTGAGTCCGTACGGGTAGGTACCACCACCCTGCCTATTTCTGCCGTGAAGCAGTAATGCGTTTCGGTTTGAAGGGTGGGGCAGCCGTTGTAACTATACTTGAG